CTAGCAAGTGACAAAGAAGGGACTGAATTCCACGTCTGACCCCAAAGTAAGTATCTCCTATTAGTCCCAACTGTCTCTCCAGAACTTTTCACTTTGCACTGCAATTCCTTCTGAAAGGGTGAATTCAGTTAACTTGGCACTGTCCTATTTGCATCTCCAATGCCTAGTGTGGCGCTGGACACTTGCTCAGTGTTTGCTGAACACAGGAAGAGAGGGTCAGTGTGAACGAAGCAGTGGGAAATTTGTGTTATGTTCCCAGTAGGTGCTCAACTAGTCCTTACTGAGTGGATGTGTAGATACTGTCCACCTTTTGAAAACGCACAAGTGAATGAGGTGCTAACTTATATCTAAATATATGTTTGTGAATTCAAATTGCTAATCTACAGCAAAGGGTTCTCCACAATGGTTTCCCCCCCTAAGCCTCATTCCAGATCTGTAAAGTGTTTCTCTGGCAGAAGGCCATCTCCACCAAAAGACGAACCTTCGCATGGACAATCAAGGACAATTTTGTCCTTAACATCTCTGCTCTTTCCCCTCTCCTTCTACCTTTCTTAATCTGCTAGGGTCTGAAGTCAGAACGTCAAAACTCATAGCTAATCGATTCCCTCTTTCACATCTTGGCAAACGTGGAAATAATAAACAGATTTAGTTCTTCTTCCCACCGCCATAGCCTCATCCAGGTCCTCCTCTCATCCTGCCGCCATCAGCATCAACCGCTTCCCCCACGGCTTGCCACTCTTTAGCGCCCAGCGGCCCAAAGACATTTTCCGCCGCCCCCAACAACATCTTCTCCCGTGAGATTGAAGAAAACAGCCAAGTCCCATTCAACCTAGCAGGCCCGTTCCGATCCACGGTTCTCCAAACCCCTTCAGCCTGAGAGGCCTGGCCGGCCCCTGCGGACCAAGGGGCCGGCTCCCGAGGCCTGCCGGCGAGGGGGGCGACCTAGGAGGCCAACCATCCGGTCACCCCGCCTCGCCTCGCACAGCCCGTGGCTTCCTGCCCTCCCTCGCTGGGCCCTTACAGGGGTCGGATCAGCAGCTGGTCACTTTCCTCAGCAGGAATCGCAGACATCTCGGAAGTCTGAAGGCGAAGCGCGGGAAAGGAACAGGTCGCGGGAGTCTTCCTAAATGGAAAACAGAGCCACGGGGAACCAATGGTAGGTAGAAAAACCCCATCCACCAAAAGCACTTCCGGCACTCCGGCGCCCGCGACACTAGGCCCCTCCCCTCAACTTCCGGTCGCACACGCTCGGGCGCGAGATTCCTCGCCGAGCGGAGTCCGGAAATCTGGTACGGGGTCAGGCTGCGCCTGCGCGATGTCTCGGAGGCGGGGCTCGGCGGGCGAGGCCGGGGGCACCGGAAAAGCTGGCGCTGGAATTAGAACTGGAGTGGCTGCCCCAGCGTCTGTTCCCGGGGCGGTGGGTGTCTGACCCCGATCACGGGCGGCCCCGGCGGCGGGCCACCGGCTGTGAGGTGAGAGCTGGGCCCTCGCCGGACCCGGGCTGAGCCTGGCAGGGAACGCGGGCCCCGAAGGCGGCGCCGGCGGAGAGGCCCGCTGTGGGGCGGATGGGTGGGGCCGCTGGGGCCGCGGTCTCCCCGGGGACCCGCCTTCCCGGGGTCCGGGACCCAGGCCCCGAGGCGGCTAGGGGCGGGCGGCGGGAGCTGAGGAGCGGGCCCGGGCCTGCAGGAGGATGCAGTGCCCCCGGTGCCCGGTTCCTGTTTGGGGTGGGACTGCAGCTCCTGTGACGACAGGTGTCGTGTGTGGATCGGTCCCGTCGGACTCGGCGGCGGGAGTGGGAGCTTCCGCGGGGCTGTTTCCTGAGTCAGGCTCTGCTCTGTGGGGCGTGAGGAGCACTGCCTTTTTGTGCCGGCTCCTGCTGGTTTCTGCACCGCTCCACCACCCGCCCCCCCATCCCTCACTGAGAAAGGCCCGGGTGGAGTGTGTCTTGTTTGCTGTCACCCTGTGCACCTGCACGTGGCAGGCACAACAGAACGGTGCGGAATGCATGGGAAGCAGGGTGGGGTCGAGAAGGAGCTTTGGCGTCGGTCTGTCTAGGTTCCGAACTTGGCCCCACCCATGATTAGCCTGGCGACCTTGGCCGAGTCCCTTGGCGTTTAGGCTTCTTCATTTGAAAGGGGCTGTGCCTCCGCAGCCTTGCTGGTCCTTAGCGGTGTATGTAGCACCTAGCCCTGGGCAGCACCTGGTAGGTGTTCAGGACACGAAGTTATGTGGATGTCATCTTCCCAGCAGGTTCTTCAGTTCATTAAGCATGTCCTCTGCCAGTCTGTGCCAAGCATTGGGTACACGGATGAATTATCTCACCCCCATCTTTGAGGAGCTCACAGTGAGATAGTTCTAAGTAAGACAGTTCTAAGTAGGCAACAGCAGGCTAAGGCTGGGATTAGGGTGCATGCTCAAGCTGTGGAGTACCAGTCCTTTAGCCCAACCTGGAGGTCCAACGGAAGCTTTCTGTTTTAGTAAAGAAGCAGCCTGAACTGAGTCTTGAAAGGTGAGTAAAGTTAGCTGAATGAATAAAAGGTGGAAGGGCATTCCAGGCAGACAGAATTATAGGAGCAAAGCATAGAAACAGCAGAGTGCATGCCGAGAACCTGGAGAAGCTTTGCATTCCTTAGAGAATAAGGTATGAAGCTGGTTGTGGAAGATGAGACTGGAGAGGTAGATAGGAGCCCTGCCATGCAGGACCTTGCATGTCCTGGCAGAGAGCTTT